TCCCAGATGAGGGTGGGGGTCCCGCAGGGGTGCCTGGCCAGCCTGGGTGTGGGGCTGATGGCTGTTTGCAGGCTGGCCACTGCCTCCAGCCACCAAAGCTCTCAGTGGAGGCCGGCTGGAAGCAGGTATCTGGGATTTATTTATCTTCTATAATTGAAACTTTCTTGCCTTTAGTGGAGGCCGCAGCTGGCCAGGCCGGTGGGAAGCTTGGCTTCCTCCATCGCTGGGGCAACCAAGCCTCCTGCTTGCTCCAGCTCCGTGGCTGCTGGCCGCCATCTTGGTTGGGTTAATTTGCATATAGTCACTCTGATTGGCTGGTGGGCATGGCTTGGGGCATAGTGAAGTTATGGTCAATTTGCATGTTTCTTTTTTATTAGATTAGATGACTCAGGAACAGACAGGTGAAAAACATGCACAGGATAAAGAATGGGAAAGGGACATACCACCCTCCCAGAACCTCCATATGTTCACCAACCCAGAAGGTTTTTGAAATCTGTTCTTTTGGGATTTTTATGGAGACTCCATATGTAGGCAGGGTTGATTAGATCATAGGCCACTAGAGATTAATTCAACCTCCAGCCCCTCTCCCCTCTCTGGAGATTGTGGGGGTGGGTTGGAAAATTTCAGCCTTCTAATCACAAGATTGGTTTCCTTGGCAACCACTCCTCATCCTGTGGTCACCTAGGACTTTCCAAAACTTACATGATTAATACTATAAACAGGTGTGGTTGAAAGGGGTTTGTTACAAAAAAGAAGACACCACTTTTGCCTTTATCGCTTTGGTACTATTTCAAGAACTGAGGTTAAAAGACCAAATAATGTCACAAAAGATGCTCCCATTTCTTTTTTTTTCTTTATTGATTAAGGTATTACACATGTGTCCTTATTGCCCCATTGCCCCCTGCTCCCATTTCTTTTACCATTCAGAAAATTACAAGGGTTTAGGAGCTGTGCGCCAGGGGATGCAGACCAAATATATATTTACTAGAGGCCCAGTGCACAAAAATTTGTGCACTCGGTGGGGAGCTGCTGTTTG